TCCCACCGGGAACTGACCTCATCCGCAGGCTCAGACAACAGCCAAACAACAGCCAGGCCTACAAGGTGAAGAATTACACTGGGAGCCAGTCACTCGGAGGACAAGCAACCATGAGAAAATCCAAAGAATAGGGTTTACCCAGGGATCAACCTCAGAGGCGGGGACGGCTAAGAGAGATGGAAATGGTGCACAGGGAAGGAAGGGGCAGAGAGAGGGCTGTCATGTGGAGGGGACTGAAGTCAACACCATTGAGGACAATGTGTCTGAACTGTTGAGTGGGATACCAATTCTGGAAACCTTCACTCAAATCACCACCGAAAGCTTGAAAAATGAAGAGCTGTGTTATGTAAGGGAATGCCTACTATTCTACTTTGTGCAAGGAAATATCTTCAGTTGATGAAAAACTAGGGGAAAGTTTAAGGGGAAGCAGAGTGTTTGCAGTCTCATAGTATCTCTCCTCAACTAGACTGATTACAGGGGGAAACAGTAGCTTTAAAGGAGACGACCATGCAGTGAGACGACCATGCAGCTACTACCGTCACCACTGGCCTAGGAGCTTGTCTACGCCTTAAGACAATTCGAGAAAGATAAAGCAGCACCGTAGAAGGTCTTCAGCATGCTATCAAAGCAGGAAATAGCACAGCCCAGAGAAGAGGATTTTGGAACAAGAGATGCCTAAGAAAAAGGATGGGGGTGTGAGCTCAGGTAGTGACGCTGGGGCTGGAGAATAATGGTAAAAGCATCAGCACTTACAGTACCGAGTCCTTTACAGTGCTTTGCATTTACTCATTTGGAAGTAAGATGGATTTCTCTCCTCTCTTTGTCTCTTGCTCCTACACACACACGGTGCCGCTGGCAGGACGTGTGACTAACAGAATACGGGAAATGAGGGAGCAGGAGGCGTCTGAGAACTTCTGGCTCTAATGTATGGGACTGGCTATGGAGTAGTCGTGCCGTATAAAAAAGGATGAGACTCTTCGATGAGAAGCTTAGATTTGGGCATCTTGGTTACAAAGCACTGGGGGGAACAGCCAGGTGGCTGGTCTGAAAGGTGGTTGGACAGATCAGTTTAGAGCTTCAAAGACAGCGCTGTGCCAGAGATACAGTTCTGAGAGTGGTTAATCACTGGTGATGGTGGGAAATTCAGGGTCAGCCAGCAGAAGGTGGAAGAGTCTAAGGATACAGTACGCTGACACCCCAACCACTCAGGAAGGAAGAAGAGAATACCAATCATTCATGAATCTTGGATGGGAAGGAAGGGGGATGAAAGCTTGAGGGGAATTCAAGGTTGGAGGGGTCACCCCAAACTCAGTTTTGAGACTGACCCCTCCCCAGAGCTCCTGACAGATGTAAACATGCCTGCTGCAGTTAGTTGTCATCAAGACTATTGTAGAATTGCTCTACAGGGTTTTCAAAGCCAGACCTACCTTGGGAGGTGCCTCTGTGTTGGTCTCAACGGCCTACTTTTCAGTTAATGAGTTGAATGACAAACTGTTTTTTGCTTTCTGAGACTCCTAAAAATATATCACATAGGCCCATATATGCCAAACACACACACACACACAATATATACTTGAGTATAAGCCAACCCGAATATCAGCCGAGGCACCTGATTTTACCGCAAAAACTGCATAAAAAATGTGCTGAAAAACTCAGCTTATACACAAGTATATACAGTATATATATACGTATACACTGTATATACGTATATATATACTGTATATACTTGTGTATAAGCTGAGTTTTTCACACACACATATATATGGTAAATGAGAGAGCCCTAGTGGCATAGTGGTTACATGCTGAGTTGTTAACCACAAAGTCAGCAGTTTGAAACTACCAGCCGCTCAATGGGAGAAAGACAAGTCTTTTTACTCCTGCAAACAGTTACAGTGTTAGAAACCCACTGGGGAAGTTCTACCCTGTCACTCTGAGTTGGAACTGACCCGATGGCAGTGAGTGAGTGATCTGGCAAACCTACCGGTAGAGATAGATGTGCACGTGTGCTTACGATTTCTGAACACATTCATATTTGAATTCTGGTGATGGTGTCAGGAAAGCACTGGACTGTTATCTGTAAGGCTGGTAGTTCAAATCCATTGGTCATCCACATGGGAGGGATGAGACTATCTGCTTCCATATAGATTGATAGCCTCTATATAGTGTCACTATGAGTTGAAATTGACTTGATGGCAGTTGAGTGGCTTTTATTTTGCAGAGAGAGCAGTTGTAGGTCGTTAGGCCCCCAGAATTGGACAAACTGTGCAGAAAGTAGTGATGTTCCACACAGACTCTGCCCCGATGCACATTGTTTCTCTATTACGAACATCTCATATTCATGTGGTACATTTGGTCAGTCACAACCGGACCATCATTATTCACGAAATCCCATAGCTTACCTTAGGACACCACTCTTGGCGTTGGGTACCTCGTTTTAATAGCACACTGGTTCTGTCCACCCGAGTGCCCTGCCTGTAGGTTTTGAATACAGATGTCCAGCTTCCAGGTCTAAACTGAGGCTTGAACAAAGAAAGGATGCCCCCTCGTCATGGCACCTTTTCAGCCTGCAGGCTGGATCTGGCCTAATGTAACGTGCCTAGTGACAGCTGACTCAGGGCCCCAAAGATGTGACATGACATCCTCCCTCAGGCGTGGTTCTGTAACCATTCCCAGAGATAAGGTTACTCCATGCCCACACGCTGCCCTGCACAGAACATTTGAGGTGGTTTCTGAGCCTGACAAGAAATTTGCTGTCGGGAGAGATGCTCACTGATTCCCCCAGCTTCCCCAGGTCCACACGTGTGGCCTTGCTTTCATTTCCACTCCGTGTCCGCCATGGTGCACCAGCCATTACATACTAATGCTCATTAATACCGATGGCTGGATACCCAATCTGTTTAGCTTGCTAGAAATGGCTACATTGTATGTTGGTCATCCATCCACGGGACAGGCATAGATTCGATGCTAGGTGACGCGTGTTAGGCAATATGCTAGCACTAGGAAAATCTGGATCCATTTGACGGGGTTCCTGTTCTGCAGCAGCACCCCCACCCCGCATTAGCATCAGCTGTAACAGCCGACATGAAGTCTTCCAAAGGAGGTGCGCAGGTGTGCGCATGCGCTGAGGAGCAGGCAAGGCACAGACCGGGTCTCCTGGACATTGAGCCGCGAGGGCTCTCGGCAGGTGCGCACTTGATCATGTCTCAAGATAGCAAGGGGGAGCACTGGTGGTTTGCCCTGGTGGTTCAAGGAGGAAGAGCCGTTCAGGCAGAAGGGCCGAGTACGGGTCGAGGTATGGAGGTGTTGATATGTGTGGCACATGTAATAATACACCAACATACATATTTAATATAGACATACAATAAGGCTGTAAATAAGATACACAAAATGGTAATAAAGCCACCACCCCACCAAGATGATGGCAGACATCATTGTGCCCCGTGCCCTCTGAGCTGGGCAGTACCCTGAGCACTTTCCCCATATGACTGCACTGAAGGGGCCACATGTGTGAGGGCAGTCAGATGTGAGGCTGGAGGACAGTTGGAGGTCACCTGGTGATCGGCTTAGAGAGTGCTAAGGGGCCTGGTGTGAGGACGGCACAGGACTGGGCAGGGTTTCATGGGCCTGTACAGAAGGTCAGAACCAACTCCATGGCCCCGAAGGACAACAGGACCCTGGACTCTGTCCCAAGGTGGTGGAGAGCCACTCATGGCAGACACTGGTGAGAGAGGGATGTGATTTGGAAAGATCCCTCCGCGAGCCTGGTAGGGCATAGGTCGGAGAAGGTCAAGACCAGAGGCCACGATGGCAGTTAGAAGTTGTTTCAATTGTTCAGAAAAGAGCTGGTCAGGCAGAGTTCTGAGCAAGAAGAAATGGGTGTTGACGACGCATGGTATTGTGGGGGAAGTGGGAGGGGTCCCATTCACTTACAGGATAGGAAACATTTTTGGGAAAGTCAGACAAGCTCAGTCTGAGATGCAGCCAGGCAGAGGTACCTGATGAGCAGCTCGGAATGGACGCCTAGACTCTGGGGAAAGAGAGAGTTGGGGCCAGAGAGAAAATCAAGAACAGAGAGGGAGAACCCAGCTTCATTCGAGCTGATCGGACCTTTCAGCACCAAGATCATCCTTTCCCTCCCCCAGGGCTGTTCGCTTCCATGTGAGCAGCTAGCTGGGAGCCAACCCTGGGGCTATACACGCACCTTCACAGAAGCAACACACCTACAGACTTACACACAGAGGAACACACGCTCAGTCCTGAGAGGTATAACACACACACACACACACACACACACATCCACAGATCACAGAGGTACACACAGAGGGCCACGGGGCAAAGGACCTAGGACGTGGACAGCTGGCCCTGAGTGTGCGTTCCAACGGTCTGTTCATTTTCAGGTATAAGTCCTTTGACTGCTGGTGACACCAGTGAATTCAGTCATACCCTTCAGCCCTACCCCTCTTTATCTGAATGGCAACACAGACCACACACACGTGCATACATCATAGAGGTACATAAACACACACAGGTGCACAGATTATAGAGGTACACACATATACACATGTACCACGGGGGTACACACATGTACACATACTATACACATACTCCCTGGACACATAAAGATACCTTCAGGGAGACACAAAAACACAAGCTTCCTGTGTGTGTGTGTGTGTGTGTGTGTGTGTGTGTTTGTGTGAAGCATGTTCTCTAGGGATACATGCACAGTGGGGCCTTCTCATCTACCTGCTGATCCTTTCAGCTGCCGAAGAGAGCAGCCCCATCTAGTCAAGATTCTCTTATGTGAGTTCATTCCCGCAAAGCAAATTTTGAAAGGATACCTACACTCCACCACCACTCTGTCATCCGCATGCTACCCCTTCATATTCCCTCTCCAGGAGATGGCTGTGAGATGGCAACCCTTTCTAACGACACGTGAGTAACCCATCTGGCTGCAGATGAAGGGTGCCCAGTGCCCCACTCAACTCTCCTCCTACCAAAAAGCTTCTGCAGCACTTGTCCGTCGTATAAATCTTCAGCCAGGTCTTTCACAATGATTCTTTCTCCAACCAGCACGTCGTTAATCCAGTCAATCAACACCTACAAAGAGAGAGACAAGAAGGGAAGCTTTCTGAGTTTCTCCTTACTGGCCACCTTCCTCATGCTGTGCAATTAAAGGAGAAAGGAACTTGAGCCTTTAAAGGCCGAATCCATAGGACCTAGGACGTGGACAGCTGGCTGTGAGCGTGCGTCCGGATGGTCTGTTCATTTTCAGGTGTAAGTCCTTTGACTGCTGGAGACACCAGTGAATTCATTCATACCGTCCAGCTCCCTGCCTCTCTTTATCTGAGTGGCAACACAGTCAGTGTTGGGTGCTGTGGTTTGTACTAGGCAAGAGTGTGGGCTCTGCCGTTACATGAATTGGTGTTCAAATCCCAGACGTATCCATTTTTCATAAGAGCCCAGGCAAGATATGTATCTGCTGAGTCTCCTAAGTTTAGGATGAGCGTTCTTGCCACACGTGGCAGTAGACAGGACAGGGCCCTCGATCAAAGGCAGAGCGTGTTAGAAAAGACACCATCCTCCCATTATGCCATGTGAGCCTTGATTGTGAGGTGGTTACTGACACCTTCTCTTCAGCTGGGGAAATCAAGTGCAGAAGAGGAGAGATGGAGCCAGAGCTACACACTTCACGGAAGGCAAAGGGCTATCCCATCCTAATGTATGATCTGTCCTCACTGCACCACATGGCCCCTCAGCAAGGTCCCCGTTTCTCCCTTCATTGTGGTTGGGGACCATTGAGTTCATTCCAACCCCTAGCGACCCCATGTGACACAGAACTGCCCCATAGGATTCTCTTGGCCCTAAACTTTATGGAATCATAAATCAGGTCAGGCGGTCTTGTTCCTTCCTAGCTGCTAGGTGGCTTTGAACTGCTAACCTTTCAGTTTCCAGCCTAGCATTTCAACCACGGTGCCCTCAGGGCTTCTTTGTCTATATCTTAGCAGCTGCCCTAGTGGCACGTGGGTTAAGTGTTAGGCTGCTACCTGCAAGGTCGGCAGTTTAAACCTACCAGTTGTACTGTGTAAGAAAGATGAGGCTGTCTGCTCCAATCAAGAGTCTCAGAAACTTAAGTCTCAGAAACAAAGGTTTCCTTTGTCCCATAGGGTTGGTCTACATCCGAATGGACCCCTGGGCAGTGGGGTTAGTTTTGGGGTTTAGCACCTGCCATTACCTGAGAGGTGACTGTGCTACCTCAAGGCAAGGCCTTAGAAGCAGGTATCATACGTTCTGTTTGTCAGGTAAGAAAAGGGAAGCTTTCTCCCTTTTCAGTGCTCCCTCCTTTTTTAATTGAGTAAGGTGTTATTTCATACAAGAAACAAACCCACTTAATATAGAGTTTGGTGAGTCTGGGTAATTGCACACAGTTGTATAATCACCACCCCAATTAAGACACAGAACAGAGCGCCTTCACCCTAAAAAGCTTCCTCTGGCCTCTCCCCTGACCACACGACCCAGACAGCCAGAACGCTGGCCTTTTCTACAATTTTGTATAAATGGAATCATATGGTCTGTGGTCCTTTGTCTCTGCCTTTTTGTTTGCAGCCTTTATAACACAGGCAGCAACCAAGCTGGGTTTCCATTCTTGGGTGGCCCATCCTAGAGCCTGGGCTTCACAGCACATGGCTCTACTGGTCCCAGGTGAGGCTGTGGTGATACGGGAGCACACACACCGGGCACTACTCCAATCCCATACAGTCAGACACAGCCTCTGTCCTGGAGAAGCTTGCAAGGGAAAAGATTCCCAACCTGAGGGAGGAGAGGGCATGCTTATGGACAAGTCAAGAAGACACCCTGTGGGGGATGAGAGAGGGCAAAAGGCAGCCTGAATGGGGGAGGTTATGTTTGGGACTTCAACGGGTCAAAGGAGTCTAGATATGGAACACTTAAAGTCTTCCTAGAAGTGAGTTGGCAGCTCTCCTGTGGGTGTGGTGGCTCTCATGTGTTGTGTCCTGTGGCCGTCCACGTCTGGAATCTCCCTCTCCCTCTGGGCCTGGGTACAGATCCGGGTCTGGGAGAGCCATGTGGAGGCTTGAACCATTCGGAGCCCATCCGGGCAGACAGCATCTCCTCATACCTCATCCCAACACATGATTGCCTTTGGACAGGAGCAAGCACAGGGCTTCCCTGATGCCCACACAGGCTCCTGCCCTCTCGGGGCACAAGGACAGGTCGAGTTCCAGGCACAGCTGTGTGTCTTTTTCCATAAGAGAAAGGCCCCGGCCCAGGGCCTTACTGCAGAGACAGACCCCTGTGGTCACAGTGTGACTGTCTCAGGAAATGGTCAGGTAGTGGACATTCACAAGCCAGCCAGCGACCCAGGTACACGGTCCCCAGGAACTCCTGGAATGGCATCTCTTCCACTCAGCTCTCCCCACATCCGTTGACTTTTTCAGGGGATGGTCACTTAGAGCAGACATTGGGCTGGGTACCTTGGTACAATTGGTGACAATTTAAATACATTCCCTTCTAGCAGTCTAGGAGTTGCCTGAAGGCAGGGAGTGCCCCAACGTTCCACCTTTACAGAGGTATGTGTTCTCTGTGGGGGTTGGGGGACCAGCACAGGGGAGGAGGCCACTGGGGCTGCGAGGCGCCTGGACACCAACTGACTGCCGTCCAGCTGATGCCACCTCCGGGGGCTGCTATGGGCAGAGAGGAACTGCTCCACAGGACTTCCAAATGGTGCCCTTCCCGGCATGCAGCACCAGGCTTGCTGGATGGGTTGAAACCGCCGACCTTCCCGTTAGTAATGGAGGGCTGCTTGTGTCAGCCCTGGGGACTCTGGGAGACCCCTGAAGCCACCCACCCTCCCACCCTGCCTCCTTCTTACCTTCATCAGCTCTTGCAGTTTGGGGTCACTGCGTGAGTTTGGGTCCACCATGGTCCGGACTTCATTCTCCTCTTTAAAAGAGAAAAGGGCTTCAGTGGAGAGTGATGGCACAGGCATGGCATGTATTCAAAGGGGCCGGGGCACACTTACCCAGCATCGTGTCCTCAGGGTCCAGCTCGAAGGGAATGGGGCTGAGGGGCAGGTTGATGGCGTTGATCCCTTCCTCCTGAAGCTCTGAGACTGCGAAGGGAAGAAGGGCTGTCAGTCATATTTCAGCGGATGAAGACAGGGGGTGCGGGTGGGATGGCGGGGGGAGGGTCTTTGCAGCAAACGTGCTCGATGTTGATCAAACCATAAAGGTTAGTGCCCAGCTGCTGGCCTGCCTCTGATTCCTGACCTGTCCTTGCTAAAAGGATCTACTTGTCCCCTTACTCTCACCTCTTCCAACTATCAGCTCACATACTCTCCTCTAAGAAAGCGGTAGGTCTCAAAGAGAGACACTGAACGATGGCCCCTCTTAGAGAGGATTCTTGGACTGGTACTGGGATCCAAGTGGGTACACTCCAGCCCCTGCTGTTGTCCTCTGGTCTCCTCTGCTGTCAGGCTTGGTGCTCAGCAACCGTTGGTTCCCTGGATGGATGGAGGGGTCACCAATTTAAGGCGAGATTACAGCCCACGCTGACCCTCTGCGCGAACCTCCTGGGATGTCTCTCCTGCTTTGCTTTCCTTCTCCTCCTGACCCCCGCCCCAGTCCCAGCTTTGGCCCCCAAACCTCGCAGCCCAGGTCTGTTTCCTGGGCTCTGGCCTTCCCTTCGGCTCTTAACCAGCTGTGGGCCTGGGACAGTCACCTCGCTACTCTGGGCATGCTTCTGCATCTGAATAACGAGGTTCCAAATCCCAGTGTCATTCAGTGAGCCCCAAGTTCACCCCAGTCATGGCGATGACTGCTCGCCCGGGGTTTTGGTTTCCAGGTCTTTTCTTCCCTGAGCGACTGGGTGGCTTCCCACGTCACCGTCGCTGCTCCAGGCCTCCTCGAAAACTCACCGCCGTGGGGTCAGTCCTGACTCACAGTGACCCCACAGGGTAGGGCAGAACTGCCCCCCCCTGGAGGGGGGGTGTTCCGAGGCTGCAGTTCTTTATGGTAGTAGAAAGCCTCCCCGTTCTCCCTCAGGAGGGAATGGTGGTTTTGAACAGCCGACCTTGTGGTTATCGGCCCAAGGTGTAACCACGATGCCACCAGGAGACCTCTCCTAGCACTCTACAATTCCACCTTCCCCCAAGAAAAGCCAAAGGAGGTCAAGGACTGACCACTGCAGACTTGCACACGACACCCCCCCCACCCCCCCCACCCCCTGGGGAGCCTCAGGGGGTGGAAAAAACTCCTACCACCAAGCCTGTGATGAGCTGGTGAGTGCTGACCTCGGCTTAGCCCTCCTAAAAGCAGTGACAGAAACCCCCCTCCGCCAATTCGACTCCAGTTTGGATAATTATCTATCGCCAATTAAGCGCAGAAAAGCCATTTTCTCTGAAGGCTTTGGTCATGGAAAGGTTCTTAAAGAGCTCGTATGGCAGCTGCAACCAACCTCAATAAAAGCAACGTCCCATCTTTCCGTTTCATTTCATTGTTTTTAATCGACTCTGGCCCTGCCAGTTACCAGCATATACTTGCAAGAACCCTTGCGGCCAAGGCAGCCCCTTACAAAGAGTTCTTTCACAGGAGCACACTCGGTGACGCTGCAGTTGGCGCGGGCGGAGACCCGCCTAACAAAGAGAGTGAAACACCGGCCCCGGAGACACACCAGCATTAGGAAGCAGGCACCCAGGCATGTCACAGCCGCCCACGATGTTTCCATGGGCTGTTAGCCCATCGCCGACTTGGGCCCTCCCAGCCGCAAACCCACTCCATTCCCCAAAAGTCTCCCCTTAAAAAATACAAGAGACCTCTCCCAGAGCAAAGTGAAGCTATAACTATGGGATGGTACTTAGATTTGTTTTCTAGTTAAGAACAATTACTTCCTTAGACTGCTATGATTTCTTCGCATGCCCATTCTAGAACTAGTTATCGCTTTCTTTTGCCAGGTTTTTTTTTTTTTTCTCGCTCGCAAATTAGTAAAGTTCTCCCTACTATCTCCCTACAGATACTACTGAGTTATGGAGCAGGGAGGAGAAAGAAGAGCAAGTAACCCTTCGCCATTGAGCCGGTTCAGACTCATAGCATCCCGACGCAGGGTTTCTGTGACAGTGAGTCCTGAGAGGCGCAGACAGCCTCACCTTTTGCCCTTAGAGCAGCTGGTGGATTTGAACCACCGACCTTGTGGCCAGCAGCTCAATGCCTAAGTCACAGCACCGTCAGGGTTCCTAGTAGAACTAAACTAACAGACAAACAAACAAACTCACAGTCATGGAATCAAATCTAACGCCTAGTGACCCTACAGGAAAGGACACAACTACTCCTTCGGGATCTTTCCGAGAGCGGAAAGGTGGTGGGTTGGAATTTCTAAACTTGCTCTACCTCACTCTTCCACCAGGACATCAGTAGAACTAGAAATAAAAATTAAAACAAGCAAACAAACCAAACGTACTGTCATCGAGTGACGTCAACTCCTAGCAGGTCTGAGGACAGGGTGGAACTGCCCCTGTGAGTTCCGGAGGCACCACTGTTTCTGGGAGCGGAGAACCCTGTCTTTCTCCCGAGGAGCAGCTGGTAGTTTCAAACTGCTGACCTTGCCATGAGCGTCCGTCCTGACAGGGAACCGCTGTGTCGGCAGAGCTCCTGGTGGTACAGCCGGAGGCTTGTTGGTACCAACTGGCCAGCGAGGCAACTTGTTCCTGCACAAGACCCCTTTCTCCTACCTGCAGCAAAGGTCCCGAAACTTACTTGGCCCACCACGCCCTTTTATGTTTTTTACAAAGTTACTCAGTCCCATTATGGCCCACTTCCAAAGCATGGAGTTCTCTCTGCGAGATCCGCACCGTCCATATGATAACCACGAGCCCTGGGGCTATTTAAACCGAAGCCAAATTCAACTGAAAATTCAATTCCTCACTTGCACCATGCACACTTCAAGTGGCCAGAGAGCCCATGTGGCTAGTGGCTGTGGACCTGGGCAGGCCGCGTGTGGAAAAGTTCCGTCATCACACAAAGTTCTCTTGGACAGTGCTGTCTGGGCGAGCCCAAACGGAAATACTGGTGAAGTCCACATTGACTGTCCAGCCCGGGGCTTGAGGTCCACACACGAATCTAATGGTTTCTTAATAGGTATGTAGAATTTACATGTATAGCACAGCACCCTTATTCCCAAACCTCCGTTCCCACCACACAAAAACCACGGCAAGGCCTGATTTCCCCCTCTTCTTACAGCAAGAGGTCATTCAAGTGGATGTCAGCAGAGACTACGAGGACTTGCTCTAGAATGTGAAGAGGTCAAAGAGCTAAAGAGAAGTCATACTTTCAATAAGTGTAAACCTCTCATCGTCACCAATTGGCTCTGGCTAGACAGTCATCTAGGGAAAGCCAAGGGTTTTCTCCCTTTGTGAACATGAATGCTGGAAATGCTACTCCAGAAATAATGTGCACGTGTGTACACATACACCATGCTCTATGGCCATGATATATACATATATTCACATATATACATATACACACACACACACACCCTTCCCTCAGCTCCCAACACACAGTAGAATCCTTCTTTTAATACTCTATGTGCTTTGGCAAATTGTGCTTCAGTTGAGAGCTGGTAGAGTTGAAGGGTTGCTGTGATCATTTTGATTATTCATGTATTCCACACATTTCTTGAGTGTTAACTATGCATGAGCTAATACTATTTTAGGTGTTCGTCTTTTAGGCAATAATTGTGTATCATTGTATTTTCATGGTTGCGATTCGCAAGGTCAGCAGTTTGAAACCACCAGACGCTCCGCAGGAGGAAGATGAAGTTTCTACTCCGGTCTCAGGAACCCTCAGCGGCAGTTCTGCCCTGTCCCCTAGGGTCGCCAGGAGTTGTAGTCGGCTGGATGGCAGCGAGTTTGGGGTTTTGGTTCTGTTCAACGTGCTTTATGTACGTGAACTCGTTGAATTTTCTCAACCGCTTGACCAGCTTCCATCAAGTGCCATCCGATTCAGAGAGTCCAGTCCTACTCTGATATTTGGGACCCAGAGCACCAGGTTTTCCTTCCGAGGCCCCTCTGGGTGGACGCACACTACCCACTTTGTGGTGAGTAGCCAAGCACGTGAACTCTTTGCCAGTACCGCCCTGGCGTTCATTCCCAGCGACCCTTGGTGACAGGGGCAGGCACCCCTCATTTCACAGCACCCTGCTTTCCTGTCCGGAATTTTTACCGAGGGAAGGCCTGTGGCGGCGCTGCATCAAGCACGTCTGCTGGGGCCACTCCAACAGCCGGCGCTCACTTCGTCTCTCTGTGTTACACTTTAGTGATTCTCAACATTCCACACTTTCTGAAGATACCACACTGCTATCTGAATATGACTGATGCTTTTGCATACACGACAGGCAGGTGTAAAAATAACTTTTGCATGCACCGAGAAGCCAAAACATTCCAGGTCACTTGCCTTCTTGCAGTATTTGCATGATTCCAGTGGTTTGGAACTAAACCCGTATATATCTCTAGAGGCATGCCTGTAAGAGTAACATCACTCCCATCTTGCTAATGGTATTGAAAGAGGAAGTCCAAGTTACAGTAATTGGTGGAAAACATTCAGGAATGGACAGAATACCAATGAAAAGATGCAATGCTAGAAGCACTCAAACATCTATGTCAGGAAATTTGGAAGAAGCTATGTGGCCAACCAAATGGCAAATATATGTGTGTGTGTACATATATCCATTTGTCAGATGGTTCTTGGCTGAAAGCAGAGAATGCCAGATGCTTACTTGTATTTTATCGACTATGGAAAGGCATTCAACTCCATGGATCATGACAATGTGTGGATGACGTTGCGAAGAATGGGAATTCCAGAACATTTGGTGGTGCTTGCTGGGACCTGCACACAGACCAAGCGGCCATCATTGGAACAGAGCAAGGGGGTCCGTAGTGGCTAAAAACCAGGGAGGGTGTGCACCAAGGCTGTATCTTCTCCCCACACTTATTTCATTTGTATGTTGAAGAACTAATCTGAGGAGCTGGACTATGTGAAAAACATGGCACCATTTTGCAGGAAAGCTCGTGAACACCTTGTGATCTGCAGGAGACGAACCTTGTGGAAAACAAAGACAGGA